TCTGTCTAGCTCTGTCTCGTTCTGTCTGTCTGTCTGTCTGTGTCTGTCTGTCTCTGTCTCTGTCTCTGTGTCAAAAACCACATGCGATTGCTCCCCCCAAAAAACATCAAAAACCACATGCTCAATACCATTCACCTCATCCAGTCGGACTGGGCACACGACCGAACACATCCACGATATCAATCGTACAGTATCCCACGGTTTGCCTCGACGTTTGCGATTTCTGCAATGTCCCCGGCCGACATAATCGGCATCGCATATCCATAGCGCAGTGCCCCTTGGCTTTCCGAGACGTCTGTGATGTCAATTATGCGATCTGGACCGACCGGCATAACCGGCATCACCAACGTCTGGTCCAATTTTGATCAATTTTCAAAAAACATTGAAAAACGCTGCATTTCTAGGAGAAAAATGCCCCCCTCCCCCCAAGCTAAAGCTTAGGATTTATCTAGCCAGATTCCTTGCGATGTGTATGTACACGAGCTGACACAACGCCCTCGGCGCCTCCGGTGCGGGCGGATTTCCATTGCTCCACTGTGCTTTCATGTTTGGAATGTGACCTCAGGCGAGGTCAATCTAGGATGTGAGGATTTATGTGAGGTCTTGCAATTTGGGCTACCTTGCAGGTTGGGGCCACCATTTCATTCACGATTCAATAAAATGGCTCGCAAGACCATCCCTCCAGAACGGACAGGGGCATGAAGCAATTGTCTATGTATATAGATTACTGTGTTGCCAAATTATATATCCAAAAAGATGATAGTTGGACATTGGTTTCATAAAGACATTGCACTCTATCATAGCTCAATCCAGATTCTATAGAAGCAATATGGCTGCGCCCATCACCTCTATGAAATAAGGGGGTCAGCGCCGTACAAAGTTTTAAGGCAACCCCCAGGGGTCAGGCCATTATTTTATAGAGAATTATGTGTGTGTGCATGAGTCTCACGCAGCTTCTTCTGTGATTTTTCAAGCACCATGATGTGGCATCAATGTCAGATGGAAAGAACACAACAGATAAATGTTTTAGGCGACGTGTATGAAAACGGAAAGCAAAAGATGAAGGCACCGCCGCAAGGAACCTGAAAAAATATGGAGAGGAGGGGTCAGGACGCCCATTTTATTTGGGAACGGCCCCGTTTTGGAACGTGGAATTGGTCTCAATTTGAACGTGGAATTTTTCTCCTGGTGTTTCTTTTCTTTGGCGGTATTTTCTTGCAGTGTTGTTTCTTCTGGTATTGTTTTCTTGTGATGTTTTTTCTTTGGTTGGCTTTGTTTTTGCGGTGGCGTTTTTCTTCGTGTCTTCTGGTGTTTTTTCTTTCTCCTGGTGTTTTTTCTTGGGCGCTTTCTTTTTTTGTGGTGGCTTTTTCTTCTGGTGTTTTTCTTTTGGTGGTTTTTCTCTTGCTGGCTTTGTTCTTCGGTTGGTTTTGTTCTTGTGGTGTTCTTTCTATACGTTTTTTTTCTGTTGGTTCTTTTTTGCTTGGGTGTTTTTCTTGTGTTTTTTATTGTTATTGTTTTTCTTCTGGTGTTTTTTTCTTTGGTGTCTTTTCTCTTGGTGGTTTACACCACTCAGCACACACCATTCATCGCACACGACTCATCACACACCACTCATCTTACACAACTCATCACACACCACTCATCACACACTACTGGCCACACACCACTCATCACAACCACTCATCTTACACCACTCATCACATACCACTCATCACACACCACTCATCACACACCACTCATGTTAAAGCGCTCATCTCACACCACTCATCACACGCTACTCATCACACACCACTCATCGCATACCACTCATCACACACCACTCACCACACACCACTCATCTTACACCACTCATCACACACCACTCATCACACACCACTCATCACACACCACTCATCTCACACCACTCATCTGATTCACTTTTATCGTCCAGTATTTTTCCGTCCTCTTGTCTTATCAGTCTCTACTTCTCGTTGATAGCTCTTACATGCGTAACATGTGGGGTTATCCGGTCCTTTTATTATTTGTTGTTGGTTTATGTCTAGTATATGACCTTTGTTTGTTTTTTCCAACGAAGCCACTAGGCTTGGTTTACATTGCGGGGGAGGCGCTGCGCCCTCCCCCCCGCGCCCCTCCCGCTCCTCCCTCCAGAACGGACAGGCGCACGAAGCAATTGTCTACGTAGATTCCTGTGTTTATACATCCAAAAAGATGATAGTTGGACATTGGTTTTATAGAGACGTTGCACTCCATCATAGCTCAATCCAGATTCTATAGAAGCAATATGGCTGCGCCCATCACCTCTATGAAATAAGGGGGTCAGCCCCATATAAAGTTTTAAGACAACCCCCAGGGGTCAGGCGATTATTTTATAGAGAATGACGTGTGTGTGTGTCCACCTCTGTAACTAAGAGTTTCTGTTGTTTCTCAACTTCCAAGTTGCAGGGGGATCAGGGACGTTTGGCTTGGCCTGATCCAACGAAGCTCCAGCCATTCGTCAGGATATTCCCAAAGGACGCCTTGGGAACGTACCTGCCTGATTAGTTCACAAGCGGTTACCCTACTTTTCCACGGTTTGACTCATGGTTCTTTCACGATACTTCCCCAAAAACAGTTTTCCCTCCGCCGATTTCCACCGTTCGTGAGCTGCTGCTGCGCCACCGCAGTCTTCTGCAGACGAGAGAAACTCCATTTTTAAAACATCTACAAGTTTTTGGACTCTCCACGGTGTGATCCTCCGCAAGGAGGCGCCGTTTTCACTCGTGTAACTGCTTTCACCGTCCCCACCATGCTTTGGATTCTCTTCACTGACTTTGTTCCACCACTGTATTCCCTGCCACTTTTGCCGCCGGGCTTCACGGAAACTTCAACTACTTGAATTCGACTCACTCACTTCCATGTTTGTGTTGCGTGTCTCATGCTGTACGCAGCTCGCTTTCACGTTCAAGAGTGTACAACATCACTTTCTCAACCACGGCCAGTTAGCGACTAGAGATGCGACCTTTGACCAGTGAAGCTACTGTCCACACTTGCACTTCCACCCCCCCCCACCTTGCAACCTAATTCGTGCTTCTATCCCACCTTCTATCCCACCTGCTATCTAGGGTAACAGAAGGAAATGGTACTCGACAAACTTGTGTGTCGGTACCTTTCCTTCTGTTTCTCCTTTTCTACTCCTAGCTACCCGGGCGGTTTAAGACGTATGTCCCGCTTGCGGCTAAGTAGTCAGTAGCTAGCAGGTTTCGTAACTAGTGGGCCTTGTCACTACACCTATCTTTCTCTCTTTCCTGTGCGTTTTCCTTTCTGTCTTTCTTTCCTTTCTTTCTAAGGCTTTTTAGGTGATTAGTAAGTTCCTCCAGAGCGCCGATATCGGCGTTCTGTGTGTGTGTCCACCTCTGTAACTAAGAGTTTCTGTTGTTTCTCAACTTTCAAGTTGCAGGGGGATCAGGGACGTTTGGCTTGGCCTGATCCAACGAAGCTCCAGCCACTCGTCAGGATATTCCCAAAGGACGCCTTGGGAACGTACCTGCCTGATTAGTTCACAAGCGGTTACCCTACTTTTCCACGGTTTGATTCATGGTTCTTTCACGATACTTCCCCAAAAGCAGGTTTCCCTCCGCCGATTTCCACCGTTCGTGAGCTGCTGCTGCGCCACCGCAGTCTTCTGCAGATGAGAGAAACTCCATTGTTAAAGCATCTACAGTATTTGGACTCTCCACCCTGCCGTTGAGCCACTCCTTTCTTCGGGGAATTGAGCTAACTGCAAACCAATGTCAGAGTGTGCATGAGTCTCATGCAGCTTCTTCTGTGATTTTTCAAGCACCATGATGTGGCATCAATGTCAGATGGAAAGAACACAACCGATCAATGTTTTAGGCAACATGTATGAAAACGGAAAGCAAAAGATGAAGGCACCGCCGCAAGGAACCTGAACAAATATGGAGAGGAGGGGTCAGGACGGCCCTTTTATAGAGGGACTGGGTGGCGACGAGTGACGAGGGATTAGACTTAGACAGACAATCTGAGGGCAAAGAATAAGACTATTTCCATTGCTCCACTGTACTTTCATGCTTGGAATGTGACCTCAGGCGAGGTCAATCTAGGATTTGAGGATTTATGTCAGGTCTTTCAATTTGGGCTACCTTGATTCATATCAATAAAATGGCTCGCAAGACCCTCCCTCCAGAACGGACAGGGGCATGAAGCAATTGTCTATGTAGATTACTGTGTTGCCCAATTTTATATCCAAAAAACGATAGTCGGACATTGGTTTTATAGAGACATTGCACTCTATCATAACTCTCCAGATTCTATAGAAACAATTGTGTTTAAAAACAATTGTTTTTGTGTCGCGTCGTTTTTGTATTGTTTCCACGAGCAGCCACTATAACATCACACACCAACCTTCTGATATTTTTGTGTTTATCTCAGTCTCACTGTCCTGATTTTATAGTGGGTCGATTTTTGCACATTTTGGTGTTGGACGGGGCCAACTGCAGTGGGAACTCCGAAAGCTCGGTTTCAATTTTTAGAGAGACTTTCTATACTATGATTTATGTTTTTTATTGATTTTTTTGAGTGGCAGTTTTCCCAACGAGCTCAAAATGACGTTTTACAGCTATAAAATGGGGGGCACGACTTGCACCCCTAATTCACACCGGGATCATTTTCTACATTTTTCTACTATCCCACCCTGCCTAAATGTAGCTTGCATTTTTCCAATGAAAGGGGCACGAAAATGTAGCTTTCGTTTTCCAAGGTCCTTCCTTAACTAAGGGGGAGGGATGCAAAGCTGGGTTATATAGTAAACTACGTTATTGGTGTGTTCCTGCTGTATGGTGAGCGTTGTTGGTCCTGCATGTCTTGTTGCTGTGCTCACCCTCCTAATCAAGCATTAGCAAATTCAATGCATCACGAATCAGTGCGCGAGGAATAGTCACCGACTCTTTGAGTGCTCACGTCACCTTTCTTGAGCTGCGCGCAGAGTTTTGCTTCTGGCTGAGGAGCGGACGGTCATGGATCGTGCAGAGGCGATACAATGATTTCGCACAATTGGATGAAGTACTCCAGAGATCCAAGCCCCATGGCCTTACTACTAGTAACAATGGCATCGCTACTAGGGGCTCCTGGCATCGCTACTAGGAGCAAGGACGCTACCAGGGGCTCCTGTCCTTACTACTAGTAACAAGAAGCTACTAGGGGCTATGAAGAACTCCAGAGATCCAAGCGCTTAATCTCAGAAGCTTATGACAAGTACGTGTAAGCAGTTGCAATGAGTTGCCATTAGTCATTTTTGTTTACCGCGCTAACATGACTCACACGGGAGCTTGAGGTCCCTGGAGCTCTTGCCGTTGCCTGGAAAGGAAAGCTTGAATCCTTTGAAGCTAATTGCAGCCCGCTTAGAGACTAAATTGATTGCAATAAACTACGCTATAGGCTATAGACTTTTTCTGATATTACTGTATATTATCCTCGGTGTTTGTCATTTGTTGGTTGCTTGCGCACAGTTGCCACTGTTTTGCTGCTTGTATGAACCGGTGACATTGGCAGGTTTGCGAAACCGTCCGTCACTTTCACAAGTGCGGTTCTTCCACTGGTGGGTTAGCAAGGTTGACGTTTCTACCACTGGGTAAGCCTGCACAAGTTGAACTACCAGCAGCAAACATAAGCAACACGAGAGAGAGAGAGAGAGGGGCAGCGCTTATCAACCACACCAAAAAATGAAGTGCTGCTGTTGCTAGAATCACACCATCTTAAAGAGGCCCTTTCACTGCCGACTCACGGGGATGGAAGAGCCCAAACAGGATAGTTTTTGTGCCGCCTTTCGTTTTGCACTTGCAGAGTTTCTTGTGTGGTAATTGCATAACATGTCTCATGTGTTTTTGCTTTCCAAGGATCGGGATGGATTCTTGGATCGACGAACTGACGGCCTCAAAGCCTACTTGGAGAAATTGGCTGTGCAAGTGCAAACCACTGCGCAGGATCCAATCCTGGAACAGTTGCCCGGTCTTAAGCCGAATCATGCAATAAAAGATCACCTGTGACAGTGGCCATGAGCCCATGTAGTTTACGTCGGGGAGGCCAGCTGCAATCTGGAGATAGCTGTCTGTGAGTTTCTTTCACTGTCCCCAAGGTTTCTGCAAGTGGATCTCTCATCAAAACCTGATCAAGGTGCCTGTCATTTGTTTTAAGATTTGTGACACTTGCAGTGAAATGCTGACTTGCAGACAGCACAGAGCCTGAAGCAGCAACGAGCGTCAGATCCCAAGATTTAGCAACAGTTTGTGACACTTCTTTGTTTCTGATAATCTTCCTTGTTTTGCAACATAAGAATAAGGGGCCGTCACCAGTTCTGCCACAGAACGGCAAGTGACACGATCGAACAATGCTGAGAGATTGCAATATCATATTGGCAACATTATCCAATAAGACTCAAACAAAAACCAAATTTAGACATGTACCATTCAAGCTCTCCTCCAGCAGGCTGAAAAATCTGCTGAGGGATGGAGTCATGCTCCATACCAAGCAGCCGAAGCTGTGATGTATTGTTGTGGTCATGTGTGATGTGTCGGAGTGCTGATGAGTGCTGTGTTGATGTTGTGGCATGTTGTGGTGGGCAACGATGGCTGGCTAGTTCCAACTAGCTAGTACAGAAAACAACACATGTCCCTTTTCTTACTACTTGTAGATTCTCTCTAGAATCTAGAAACGTGTCTCGCGTTCTACACTTTTATGTTGAGCTGCCTTCTTTTCAAGCTGACGCAGTCATGTCCAAGTCCAGGTCAGTGCTTTTTGACACACCAACCCTTTGCCGAACTGCATTCCCCGAATGAATTTGCTTTCGCGTGAACTTCCAAAACACCTGTGACCAGCCCTCCACGCAGCCTTCGCACGCCCATGCGGCAACTAACAGCGCCGCAATGGTGGCGCAACGACCTGCTCGTTTTTTAAGCGAGCTATACCTTCACCTCACTGGTGTGCCAACACGAAGATCCAAGCCGAAGGACAACATCTTTGCCCCCCAAAAGTTTACTGTCGGGGTTCTCTCTTGGAAAAAACAATTGGCCACACTGGCTGGCTGGGCCCCTGAACTCTTTGTCCGGGCTCTGTGTCCGGGTCTTGTCCTCCTCTTGTCCTCTGGCCGCGCTGGCCAACCCTGTGTCCTCCTCTTGTTCTCCTCTCGTCCTGCTGTTGTCCTTTGGGCGCGCTGGCCAACCCCGTGTCCTCCTCTTGTTCTCCTCTCGTCCTGCTGTTGTTTTTTGGCCGCGCTTGTTTTGTCCTTCTCGTGCCCTCCTCTTGTCCCCCCTGAAGCTCTGTAGCCGGCTCCCCATGAGCGGGGAACCGTCCCTCCTTCACTAACGGTGGTGCAGTGCCTCGCTGCTTGGCTTCTACCGTGCTGGGCGGCTTGGCACTACGTGCGGTACTTCTTCTTACCAGCGTTTTTCTTGGCATCCCGGTCCCAAGTCCAGGCGTGAGCTGCCAGCTGCATCAGTCCGTGGTGATCAACTCCTTCCAGTGCACCTTGCCCTGTTCAGTCTTTCACTGGACCCACGGCGTGGGAGGAGAACTGGTCATCCAATCCACCCACCATGAGTCCCCTCCGAAAAAAACACACCCTGCTTCGAGAGTGTCCTGTTCCTCATGCACCTGATCAGCCAACCTCGAGCGCCGTGCCTTCCGTGCCACAGCTGCCAAGGAGACCCAGAGTCTCCATTCTGTCCTGGAATGCTGGAGGTCTCACAAGTGCCACACACCACATCGGCGTCGTTGGTGTTCAGTGCCAAACCCATCATTACTGGGCTGAGGCCTCTCATGACCACGTGGCCCATTGAAGACCCTGATCAACTGCAAACTTTGCAAGGCTCCGGACATGTCCACTGCCATTTGTATCACTGGTAGGCTAAGGCACGTGCAATGCAAGCTGCCTTAACTCACGGTAGATATACTTCACTTGGTCTATCTTCTGGTGTGCAGCTTGGCCGCGGCTGCGAGCCAGTTTCCAGACCTTGTCCTCATGCCGTGTTTTGTCCTTTGTGCTTCTTGTCCTCCCGTTGTCCTCTTCTTGTCCTCCATCCAGCTCCTGCCACTTGGGTTTCCGGCTAGGGGCAGAAAGGCAAACCAATCCAGTGGCACTCGACAGGCTTTTGGTTCTCTAGCTGGGATGTTCTCGCATCGGTGAGGCACATGTCCCGGGCCCTTCATCTTGTGAGATCCAGTGTGAGAGCGTTGATGAATGGTTTTTGGGAGCTATCAACCCAGTGGCTTGTGTTAAAAAGTGATGATCACATCCATGACTTACCTCAGGGTATCTTCGCCATCAGTGAGAGTGCGTTGACTCATGCAGGAGAGCGCAAAGTTCGGAGAGAACTTCGCTCGGCGCATCCCCCACATACATTAATCGCAGGACATCCGGCCAAGTCCGAAGCCAAGTTCGCCATTGGAGGCAAGCAAACAGGAGTTGTCTTCGTCTCGACATTTCCATGCCGGCCAACCATAGCAGGATGCAGCAGTGAACTTTGCTCTTCCTCTCGTCTTGCTGCAGCAAAATTTTGCGTCGAAGGGAGTCGAAGGTCAATGGATCACTGGAGGAGTGGCTTACGGTGAAGCCTACCGGTCCCTTGGTCATGAGGGACCTGGTCACACCAACTAGGTAGAGGCAAATCAACCCAATTGACGGAGGCGAGTTGTGATCGGTGCCCGATCAAGCCTTCCCGCCTGGGAGAAAGACCCCCTGCGGCCAACCAAGCACGCCTTGAGTGCCACACCGTTCGCGAAGGGACATCCAGCATCTACGCTCCGAGTTGGCCAGATAGCCGTACAGACCAAACACCCTATAGCCAGCCACCTCAGGTTCAGTCGATTCGACACTAATCTGAACGTGATGCCGTTGATACATTGGCATTCAGCCAGTGGCTCAAAATCATCGCCTTTTGGGCAAGTGTGTCGCGTCCTGACAAGGCTCCGCTGTTGTACGCTTGGCACGAAGTTTTCGGCAAAACTGTACTCGGGATTGATCGGGGTCTCCCGACATAGGTCAGGCTGGAAGCTCCAGGAAGATGGCAGCCTCTTCGACTTTCCCCCAGAGTTGTCTTGAAGCATGGCAGCCGGGTTGGAGGTCCATCCATGAGCGCCCGTTCAACCCAGCCTCTGCCGGCTGGACTGGTTGCGTTCGTCTCCATGTTGCCTGATTACTTTCGCATCGATTCGCTTTGTGCGATGCAACTTGCTCGTCTTGGCCCAGCGTGTGCTACGCCGGGTGAAGCCGCTTGAGGACTCCTACCTCGACGTGCCCTGCGGGAAAAAGTGCGTTGAAAAAGTGTGGTGTTTTCGTGGTGCCCTCATCCTTTTGTCCTTTGTTGTCCTCCTCATGTCCTCCTCTGTTCTTTCTTTTGTCCTGTTGCTGTCGTGCTCTTGACGCTGCTTTGCGAGGCAGGGGCTGGGGCTGCAGCCCGCCACCACAAAACAAATTCTTACCGACTAAGCTGCTTGGGGTCTATGCGGGTATAAGTTTTTTTCAGTCCCTTCCGCCGCTTGCTCAAAGTAAACGTGACTTTGTCCTGGAGGTTGCTGGAGTTTCAGATGGCGGCTGCAAAGTGTTAAAAGAAGGGGGTTCTGCAATGTGGACGTAAATGATGTATTTGTATGACATTGGGACTTGTTCAGGTTGTTGAGTTCAGTGAGCGATGAGGGAGACAATCCTGCGGAAAAAGTAGAAAAGGTCTGGTCCGGAGTCCGGCGCATGTGAAGTTGAGAATTGCAGTCTTGCACTCTTTGCTTTTGAGGTCCATCGTTGCGTTCTAGCATGCAAGCGTTGTGAGACAGATTGAGGATTGAGGCTCAAGTTTCCTTGACCTGTTGAATACGCCTCCTGTTGCTCGGATCCCAACGAATGCGCAGACAACAATCTGCAAAGGCTCGACAACCAACCAGTAGTGCAGTCATTTGTGTTGTGGGTGATTCAATTCTCATGAAGCAGCGAAGAACGACTGAATAAATTGCTTGAATTTCCAATTCAGGCGGCACTGCTTCTTGCTGCTGTAGCACTGATTAGGCAATCAACCAAGAGAGTCGTGAACAGACTTTCATGCTGATGTTCGACTTTTCGATAACTATTTTTTTCCATTTTGTTCTTGTGTCCTTCCTACATTGCTAGAATGTGGATGGAACAAGTGCACCATTCAAGAAGCTTTGGCTTGTCTATCAGCGCTGCATGGCCTGCGTGACCTGTGTGAGGTGTACCACTTTCATCACACCAAGATGCTTGTCCGAACTTCAAAGGAACCATATCACCGACTGGTGAAATGCATACTAACACTTTGTGTTTACTTATTTTCTTGTCATCCAACCCAAGGCAACGACTCGAACCGTCGTGATTTCTTACAAAAACTGGCAGTGGGATTGACAGTAGCCACGGTGGATTCAAGCGGTGCTCCTGCAGCGTCGGGTTCTCAGTGCGCTAGAGTTTCATGTCACGATACTTTTGTCATCAGTTAGCAGACCTTCGCTCACACCTACAGATACAGTAAGCCACAAGGCTGCTGCGCTGAGAAGACGGCTTTGGCAGATTAATAGTTTGCTACCTTGCTACCTTGCATTGGCTTGCATCATTGCCTGCTGATCCATCACCTCAATTTTGACTGAGACATGCCGCTATTGCACGATGGTCTGGTCTCTATGACGATCCCAAGCATCCGGGCTGTGAGCGTGCGATCACGAAGGATGGCGTAACCTGACTGAGCTGCAGTCGATAGCGGGTCTTGACCTGCAAACAAATTGTAAAAGCCAGATAAAGACAAATTGACAAACAAATGGCACGCATGGCTTTAGAAGAAAGTGCAATGTTTAGAACTCAGGGCGAGTTTGTGATCTCCGGGACAAGCGCAGCAGACGGCAGCAAAGAATGCGCCGAAGACGGCCCGACCAAGCGATGGTATTTGGTTGCTCAACCAGGACATTCTCATTTGATATCATTGTGATCGAATCACTTCAGATGCTGTCATGCAGAGCGATACCAGGAGAATCTTCCGATGAGCTGATAATTGAAGCTAGACTTTGAGTTCAAAGTGCAGCATTCGAGTTTAGCAATAGCAGTTCCCTTTTGGATTTGCTCAGCTTTGTTGAACTGTAGAACTGGTCTTCTCGTGACCGGCAGTGCTCACGTCGTAAGGATTTTTCGCCCAAAGGAGGGCCAAAGGATGCAGTTGCCAAGCTCGATGGCGACGGCATTGTTTTTCCGGTGTCTTGGAGAAAGTAGTTCACAAACTTGTTGGGAATGCTGTCAGGTCAGCCATTGTTCCCTATCATGTTTTGACAATAATTTGATTAACATCTGGCCTGAATGGTTTGCACTGCACTCAGCAAAAACTGCCAGTGGCGCATCGTAATCACGTCATGCGTTTTTCTTCTTTTTTTTGTGTTGTCTTTTGTGGTTTTGTCACAAGAGAAAAGTTGCCTCTCACCCTCGGAGATGGTCCATGAGTTCATGCCCCCTCAGTTTGTCGGGCGCCCACGAGTGCCCAGAGAGATTCAGTATTGGGAGCCACCGAGACTCTTCCCAATGTATCTACATTTTAGTGAGGTCGGATTCTATTGCAGGCTGTTGCAACATTGACGGTGTTGGATTGGTTTAGTTGGACTTAGTCTGACTTGGATTCCAGCCGAAGTATCTCTGTTCTTGTTTAGCCAGAGTGTTTGCGGTTGTTCTTCACTTCACATGCCACAGTGCACCAGGCACTGGTGCCCCAATTAGGCCCTCGGGGTGGTTGATGTTTTTGTGAGGGTCTTGGACTTCATGAGTGTTGTATGTGTTTGTTTCATGTTGTTTGCCATGTCGCAGAGTTGCGGGATTGTTTTCTTGCAAGGCATCTCAACGTCCAGTGCTTGCTCCTTGTTTTTTCGAAAAGTATTGAGTATTAGTATCCCGGTCGTCAATTTGGGGTAAGTCCAAGAATGTAAGCCTCCTCACTCAGTGCTTCACATTTGGCAAGTGCACTGTTCGCCTGTTCGCTCAAGCCCTTGTGCCACCATACTACCATCGCTCGCCTTTTCATCCGACGGCCCTAGCATCCTTTTCACATGCTGCGGAAGCAGCAAAATCCAAGGGCCATAGCTTAGCAATCTCAAGACATTGGTGTCATAGCAATTGCAATGGACATTGTCAGGGCACATGCTGCCACTCAGCAAGTACCGTTAATGCGCGCAATGAACACCGGAGCCAGTCCAAGTATAATATATATATAGTTATATATATACTGTGATGGCAAGGGTCAGCAGAGCCGCACCCTTTCCTCCCAACACTCCCAATCCCACCCAAAATGTGTATGCAAAATGCACAGAAGGATCAGCAGCTCTTGACTGGGGCCTTGTTAAAAGGGTCCTTACCTTCTTATTCCGCTTTCTTAAGCTTTTTGTCAGTGCTTTGATGTTATGTGGGTTCCATTCAATCAGGATGGCAACAGATGGTCCAAGATCAAGCGCAAACCCGGAGCTGCAGCTGGAACATACTTGGATGGTCCGGCTTCGCCACTTTCCAAGTTTGCCAAAGGAAAGGTACCACAATAGATGCTATGTTCCACTATGATCCGCGTTTGCCGCCCGAAGGAAAATGTGGAGATGATGCTCATCAGGGTTTGGAAGCTCTGCAAGGTTTGATAATTTTGTAATCCCACTCTACTACGGCAAATGAAAAACACACAGACTGGAGATAGAGCTACGCGCGACATTATTGATCCATTGAAGGGAGCTAAATTTGCTGAGTACCAATTCGGGCTTGACTGGTTCGTAGGTCTGATACATAAATGTGCTGTGGTATACAGTTGCAAATAGGACTCGCAAGAAGGGGAGAAGTCTCATTTCTAGAGGCAAGACATGAGTGGAATCGCCTGACCATGTCTGCCGACCTCGAAAAATCCGCATTAGCCTTGTCAAACCTTCATGATTTCGCGTCCTTTGACAAAGGAAGAACTCTTGCATGACATTTCAAGGGGAGGTTAGGTGTTCCAAATAGTTGCATTGCATGCAAGAAGAATTGTCTGACTGTCTCCATTGGATTCCGAGCCATGCCTGCATACCCCGGAACGGAAGAAAACAGCTGGTGGACTGCGGTGGGATGTACACTACTAGCTGTTGCAGCAGTGAGCTCGGAGACAGCACAGCATATTTTGCCAGATGATTTCACGTCCCACATGCTTGGCTCCTGGGCCTGAAACATGTTATCATTTTATCATTCCATTTACATCCATTTACACACGTTGCAGACTCAGAGAAAACGTGAGAAAACTAAGGCTGTGGCATATTGGCTTTGGTTTTTTTTTGTGCCTACATTTGCCTCAAATCAAGTCTTGCTCCTTTGAAGCGGAGCCCTGTGCCCGCAAATCCTGTTGCGGGGTCCTCCGGATCTTCCGTTAAACGGAAGGACGTGACCATCATGAAAGGAGTTGTGCAAAGGTACTCGGAGAAGAAAGAGTGGGGGACGATTGCGGTCCACAACGATTCAGATTCTGAATCTGACGTTGAAACGAGAGTTCGTTTCTTGCGGGGTGAGCGGGACCGCCTTGGCCTGAGACCCGGTGATAGCATTATTTTCAGAGCAGTTGAACAAATGGATGGCTGGCTACTGGCAGAAACAATTTGGAAGGCTCCTACGGCAGACAGACAGGGCCTCCACGAGGTGAAACCACGGTCTTCGAAGGAAATGGATTGAGTTTCGAAAGCCAGGAGTGACTTGTGGGACTCATCATTGGCTTTTCAAGGCAACTCATGCGAAAGTTGTAAACATGAACGACTGGTCAGCCCATTTGTTGCCAATTCAATTCATCGTCATCCTGCACTTCCTGATCATAGCAACTCTCCCAGAAGGATACACAAGGCAAGCTGTGACAATAGAACAGATCATCAGACAGGTAAGTGAACAGCCGGGTTTTGCCCAACCACAAAAGCGATATGTGGTGTTGTTCACCAGTGCTGAAACATCCAAATTCAGATGTGGCGTCACCGTTTGCATTTGCTCGTACAATGTCATCAACTTGGGAGAACAGCCATTTGTCGCTGCGACAATGGCATCAACTTGTGATTTGTGCGAAAAAGTGGGCGACCATGCTGACCCATCTCAACAACTTTGAAATGCAGCATATGCGTTTGTATAATTTTGTATATATATATATACAATTATAATATACTATAGTATAGTATAAACATATATACATACGCATATACAAAGTGGGATTGAAGAGTTGCAACTACTGTCAGTGGTTGCAATGTCATTGGGAAGGTTTGTTGCCTTTGATTAATCTAACTAAAAGCCGATGGCGTTTAAACATGCTGTAGCATGTGCTTGATTTTGCACCTTCGGCTCGAGAGAAAGAGCTTTGGTCATGAGACGTGATGAGTGGAGGGAAGCAGTCTGTCGCGATTGGCAGCTGTCTTAATTCGCCATGTCAGAAGCGATAAGCCAGGAGCAATTGGCAGCGCTGACTCAGCAGGTGCGGGTCCTTCATTTGCAATCTGACCTTGTGCGATTTCATTCTGCAAGTCTTCAAAGCCTCCCATGTGGTTAGAACTTGCTATTTCTACAGCTTACGCGCATTACCTGTCAGGTGGCGGCACAGGCGGCAGCTACACAGGTCCAGGTCGATCCCGCAGCCGCAGCAGAAGCGGATCCAAATGGGCTAGCTGCCTTGCAAGTTGGAGCCTTGGAGTGCTGCAAGAGGGGTGCAAAGAACTTCACTTGACCGAAGTGTGAAACATGTACATGTGATATACAATAAAAGCATACATATATTACATTTGCATGTTCTTTTCCAACTCTTATAAGGCTCTCATGTAGGCTCGCCCCGGTGAATGGATCACTCACAACAGCCTACTTAGACAGATCTTATATCAAGAAGCACTGAGTGATCACCATGCTATTAGGTTGGAGGCCATATCGCAGGTTGGAGGCCACATCGCCATTAGGTTGGAGGCCAATTCGCATTTTAGGTTGGAGGCCATATTATATCGCTATTAGGTTGGAGGCCAAATTGCTTTTTGGTTGGAAGCCATATCGCTATTAGGTTGGAGGCCATATCGCTATTAGGTTGGAGGCCACATCGATATTGGGGTTGGAGGCCATATCGCTACATTAAGATTGGAGGCCACATCGCTATATTGGGTTGGAGGCCACATCGCCTTAACAGGTTGGAGGCCATCGCTTTATTATCCCTACATTAGGTGGGAGGCCATCACTATATTATGTTGGAGGCCACTGTTATATTAGGTTGGAGGCCACCGCTCTTAGGTTGGAGGCCATCGCTATTAGGTGGGAGGCCATCGCTGTTAGGTTGGAGGCCATTGCTATTAGGTTGGAGGCCATTGTTATTAGGTTGGAGGCCATCGCTATTAGGTTGGAGGCCATCGCTAGTAGGTTGGAGGCGCTATTAGGTTGGAGGCCATCGCTATTCGGTTGGAGGCCATTGCTATATTAATAGTAATCGATCAGCTTAAGTATACTTAACTATAAACTCGGTCCGCTCATTTTTGTGAGGCCTTGGGAGTAATGCCTGGAATGATGCCTGGCCTTGCTGCCGGTGGCCTCGCTGGCTTGACGGGTATACCTGGCGTCCTGACCTGAGGTATACCTGGCAGCTATAGCATACGTTTAAGTAAGCCTTGCACCTTGCTGAAGTCAAGTCCTTGCAGGTGCCAATGGTGCATCCTGGGTAAGGAGCTTAATTCCTGGGTCCTTGCATTTAATAGCCTTTATGTACTGCTTATTTTGCTCAGCTTTGCTTTGCTTACCCCTCTTCTTGCGGCCTACACCAGCTTAGAAAGGCAAGAAAGAAACAGCGTGAAAGAGTGGAGAGGCGAAGCAAATGAATGAGGAGGTGTAGCAAACGCGCTGAGGTATGCAGCCGCTGCAGCATCGGCCGCGGCAAACGCAGCTGCATTGCAAGGGCCCAAACAGTTTGTAGAAACAAAAACTGCTGTGCATAAACCATGTGTGCAAAGGAGGTGAACGAAGGTGAGCGAATGCTGTTGTTAGCGCGTTGTCGCTTCTGCTTTTGTGTGAAGGTACTATCAGGCTTTGCAAGGCTTGGCTGCGACTGGTGCAACAACTCAAGAAGCTGCTCCAGCACAAGGGCACGGAGGACGCCCTTGCAGTCCTTCGATCGTTTCATATCGTTTCGTTTCAATTGGTTCTTGAAGCTTTTGGAGAGGGTTTTGGATGGAAGCATGACGTGTCAGATTCGTGTGAAATAGCGAGGAAACGTGTGGAAACGTAAGATGTTGAAGTGTGGAGGATGATTTCACTGCACAGGCGGAGCGTTTTGTGAGATCCGCAGTTTTGTGCGCAGTCAGATTGGGATTGGCCTTTAGAGGGAGATGTTTTTGGGGTGTTGGATGTGGCTGTGACATTGGGACTTGCGATTCAGCCTGTTGCTTCGAAGCTGTGTTTCGCGACAAGTCTCAGCTCAAGTGGCGATTTCGGCGGATGGGAGCGTCCTCAGAACGTGTCGAAATCATTGCAAGCGTGTGGTGGTGCAAATTTTGCTGAAGCTAACATGATATGATGTTGTCGTGTGGAAGTGCAATTTTCGTGCCAAGCGCAGGGAATCGTGAGGCTGCGAGGTGTGGCGGAGGTCACATTTCATGGCAAGCGCAGTACTATGTGTGTGTTGGAGGTGTGGACGTGTCGTTGCAGGCGCATGGAATCGTGAGGTTGCGAGTTGTGGTGGAGGTGAATGTTGCTGTAACGTGGGGTTGTCGTGTGAGCGGGTGTTGCTTGGAGGGGCTGGAATCGCGAAACTGCTTGGCAGGGCTGCTTGATTGATGTGTGTGTGCTCTGATTTGGCTTCCCGCTTGACTTTTGGAGGAAGTCTCGTATGAAATGCTTGTCTTGGAGACTTTGACTTTGACGCGTGACTTTTGGAGGAAGTCTCATACGAAACGCTTGTTTTGGAGACTTGTGACGTGTGAATTTGGGAGGAAGTCTCGTACGAAGCGCTCGTTTTGCAGACTCGAAAGTGACAATGGTCACCGGCGCCGCGCAGCCATCTCGAGTCTTGAATCTCGGATCTCGAGTCTCGAATCTCAGATCTCGGACCTCGGATCTCGAACGTCGAATCTCGGATCTCGGATCTCGAGTCTCGGATCGGATCTCAGATTTTGAATCTCACTGTCAAGTGCGTTCTCGTTTGAGGAAGTCTCGTTTCGGACACTTTCCACATAACGGTTGACTTGTGACTTGTGGAGACTATAGTAGTGCCCCGCAAGAGTGTTCCACAAAAATGTCCGACAAGAGTGTCCTACAAGACTGTCCCACAAGAGTGCTACAAGCTACAAGACTGTCCTACAAGAGTGTCCCGCAAGAGTGCCACGCACACGCGCAAGAGTGTGTATAAGAGTGTTCTGCAAGTGTGTGTCCCCCAAGTGTGTCCGCAAGAGTGTTCGACAAGAGTGCCCTACAAGAGTGCCCCACAACAGTGTTGCACAAGAGTGTCGGGCAAGAGTGCTTCACAAGACTGTTCCATAGGAGTGTCCCACAAGAGTGTCCCACAAAAGTATCCTGCAAGAGTGTGTCTTATAGGGGTGTCCCACAAGACGTTCCTACAAGAGTGTCCCACTTTGAGTGACATACCAAAAGAGTGCCCACAAGAGTTTCCTACAAGGGCGAGTGTCCTTCAAGAGAACCCCACAAGAGTGTTCCACAATTTCCTGCAAGAGTGTCCTACAAGAGTTTCCTACAAGGGCGTCCCACAAGAGTGTCCTGCAAAAGTGTTCCCCAAGAGTGTGTCATACAAGAGTTTCCCACAAGAGAGTCCTACACAACTTCCCACAAGAGTGTCCCGCAGGAGTCTTCCCCTAGAGTGTCCCAAAGGAGTGCCCCGCAAGAGTGTCCTACAAGAGTGTCCCACAAGAGTGTCCAACAAGACTGTCCCGCAAGAGTATCCTACAAGAGCGTTCCGCAAGAGTGTCCCACAACAGTACTCCTGCAAAAATGCCCGACTCCGACAAGAGTGTCATACAAGAGTGTCCCACAAGAGTGTCCTACAAGAGTGTCCCGCAGGAGTATCCCACAAGAGTGTCCTACAAAAGTGTCCCACGAGAGTGTCCGACAAGAGCAACGATAGTGTCCCACAAGAGCGTTCTACAAGAGTGTCTCCTAGAAGAGTGTTGAAACATGTTTGGGCGTTTGTTTTCGAGTACGTGCTTGTATTCGGGTTCGTGGGTTCCATCTTGTTTTTTGACAGAACTTGTACTAAGAGAAGAGTCTCGAACAGTTTTTTTCCGGATGTCCAGGCAGAACCTTCAACACGAAGCCCGGAGACTGGAATTGTAAACTCTGTGGAGATCTTCAGTTTGCACGCAATACGAAGTGCCGCGCTCGACAACACAGAAACAAACAAAAACAACTTCATTCCATTTAGTTTTATATAGTATACATATTATATGTGTTAGAAACTAGGACATGTACTTGAACAGTCATTCAGGCATGGAAGCACAGCGCTTACCGACCGGGGCATGTAGGCCCAAAGTCGCTTTGGCGAAAACAGCGCCCGCGCTTTTCATGGTAGCGGAGCCCTGGTCGTAAAGCACCGGGGCTCCGCCACCTACGCTGCACCACGAGCACCACGAAGAGCTCAGGCTCCACGACACGGAGGAGGACCGGTTCGATCCAGGGTGGTGCATCCCTCAGCTCGATTTGGATCCTCGAGCTTCTGCTGCTGGCAGGGTTGGCACAGGAGGGGTCGGAACAGCGACATCCCAGGAGGTTCAGTACTCCAGTCGAACTCCATCCTGCCCTTGACCGGCAAGACGCGAGTGAGGAGGATCCACACCTTGGTGGTGGAGACTGAGGAGCACCTGAGCAAGATCAAGTGGATTAGAAGTGAGAGGATTGCAAGGGCCTCTATCGTGGTGGCCAAGAAGGAGGACCAGTCGGAGCTGAAAGAGGTGATCGTTGTGGTGCCAGCAAAGTGGAAGTTTGTGCAGCGCGTCGAGGCACTGAGGGACGAGACAGGAGAGGACGAGTTGAGTGAGCTGGTTTACAACTGGCGCTTCTGGGACATCCCGGCCTACGCAGGGCTGGCATTTGGAACACCTACACCCCTTGCACCTGTGGAGACGAAGACATTCATCCCCAAGGTGTTTGGGTGGAAGTCAATGGCTGAAGAGAGTTTGAGGCAGGTGGCAACAGCCTTGGAGAAGTTGGCATTGAACCAGTCTGCACAAGGTTGGGCACGGCGTCTAAAAGCACCGGATGTCTTCAAGCCCGACGGAAGGGATGCAGAGCTGAAGCTATGGGGAGACTGGAAGTTTAGCTTCCTCAACTATGTGAAGGGGCTCGATCCCTCGACGGCGGCCAGCATGGACATGGTCGAAAGCAATGTGGACGCCAACTACAACTTCGAGGACATGACCGATGAGACGAAGGCAAAGGCCGTTAGACTCTACAGCCTGTTGACTTTGTATTTGAGGCAGCGGCCATTGAAGCTGATTCGCCATGTCAAGAGTGAGAATGGGTTCGAGGCGTGGCAGAGCCTGTTGAAGGAAATGCAGCCGGCGACGAGGGCCAGGTCACTAGCCCTTCTGAGCCAGCTGTCCCGCATTCAATTCGCGGCTAGGAAAGACGGTGTCTGAGCAGCTGCCGCAGTTCGAGGCCTTGGTCTTGGAGTATGAGCGCATCTCATCCCAGAAGTACTCAGATGATGCCAAGGTGGCATCCATCTTGTTAGCATGCCCTTTGCAAATCCGCCAACACCTACATCTTTGGCTCACAGATACAACAACCTATGAGCAACTCAAAGACAGGATCATCCAGCTTGAGGCGGTGACGACAAAATGGGATTCTTCGAACTCCCTGATGCCTCCCACTAGGACCACCGGTGATGAGGCAACCCCAATGGAAGTGGATTACATTGGGAAAGTTGGCAAAGGCAAGAAGGGCTTGAAAGGAAAAGGCAAGGAGGCCAAAGGAAAAGACAAAGGCAAGGAGAGAGGAAAGTATGGCAGCAAGGATGGCAAAGGCATGGAAAGGAGCAGAGAAGGGAAAGAGCTTCTGGGAGAGGAGTTCAGCGAAGAAAGGCAAAGTGGTTGAGAAAGGAGGAAAAGGAACGAAGAGTGGGGCCTGCCACAATTGTGGCAAAACGGGCCATTTCGCTCGAGACTGCTGGAAGCAAGTGAATCAGGTGGAGGAACAGCAGAATCCAGGAGGAGCGAGCTCATCATCCACAGGCAACGCTGGAAGCACTACAGCCACGGCCTCAGTCAAGATGGTGAGATTGCAGACGCCGCCTGATGCTTCATCGCTTGAAGTCTTTGACCTCACTACGCCCAGGAAGAGTTCTATGAGGCTGAAGAGTCCGAGTACCATGACTGTCATGAGGCTGGAGTGGAAGTGCCACATGATGTGGCTATAGTGGCCATGGATCTGCAGGACATTGAGGAGAAGGAGATGATCGTGAACATGGTGAGGAGACAAGACCATGAAGAAGTTGGAAGCTGTCTAATCACGGTAGACAGCGGGGCAGACATCTCTGTACTGCCAAAGGACTATGCTGGCGTGGGAGAACGACAAGAAGGAGATGGCAATTTGAGGATGGTAGATGCTCAAGGAAAGAAGATCCCCCACAGTGGAATGACACGAGCAAAGGTCAGGATGGTGGATCGAAATGGGAAGGTCGTTGAGATCTATGAAGACTTTGCTCTTGGCAGCGTGCAACACCCAATACTGTGCGCAGGAAAGCTATTGAAGAGAGGATGGTCACTGGGTGAAGTGGAAGGAAGCCTACATCTCAGGCATGAAGGCCGCTCGGTGGACATCCCACTGAACACGGAGAGGAACTCATTGCAGCGCGAAGCAAGGATCTTTGCAGTGCAGACAAATGAAGAGCAAGTTCCTCAGAAGAAGACAAGTGAGGATGAGGATGCTGCAAGAGTACAAGTGCTACAAGGAGATGGCCGAATGGGGTAGCAGTCTACAGCGACCCGGTGGCGACTCAGCTGGTGGACCCCTCAGGCAGCATGGAGAAGAGCTACAAAGCCAGAATGACGCTGGTCAAAGGAAAGGATGGACTTTGGGAACAACTTGAGAAGACAGAGGACTACAACCTACTGGGGCCCAAGGCATTCCGCAAGATCAGCTTGGCGACAGAGCCCCAGAGGACTTTGAGCTTCTTCTCATCAAAAACTACTGGGATCCAGGGAGTGAAGTTCCAGTGGCACCATATCCTCTGACAGATGGAGCATTTGGACACTTGGAATGGTCAGAGGACGAAGGTGAGGAGCTTGAGGAGCTGGAGGCTCAGGAGATGTACCATGAGGTCGAAGAGATGGTGGTGGCTGAACGACCGCGTGAGGTAGAGTTAGACGAGGTCACCTTTTCAGAGAAGATGTCAGTGAAGGAGCTTCAGATGGCATGCAAAGAGCGACAACTGGCACACACCGGAAGCAAGAAGAAGCTGCTGGAAAGGTTGGTGGCTTTCAAGGTGAACCTCGAGAACCAGATGCACTTGGCAGTGGCAAACAAGCTCTACAACGAGCAGAAGAGAAGGCCGGTGACACTCGGTCAACCCAAACTCCCGAGCTTGGCTGAACAGGAGCTACACAATGTGACGCGTTGGCCATTCGCCTCTGTAGCAAGTCGCTCAAAGGAAGATAAGCATGAGAAGTCAGAGAACAAGGAGGACATCGGAAAGAACATCATACAGATCGACTTCTGCTACACGTACACGGGAGAAGAAGACCGATCGGAGAAGCCAGTGCAAGACAAGGTTGTGGAGAGGCAGGACCAGCGCGGACCAGCTCTGAGACAAAGGCCATCCACGCAGTTCCAGTGCCGAGCAAACGCAGCGCTAGCCTCAAGACCATCACGGAAGAGATCGTCAGATTTGCTCTGGAGAATTCTGCCCGGGACGCTTGCATCATCCAGGCTGACAGCGAGAGGGCAACCAGACAAATACTCAGGTCCGTGCAACACGTCAGCAGAAATGTGCTCGGCATGAAGACAGAGATTCGCCTCACAGGAGCTGGACAGCATGCGTCAAATGGTCAGGTTGAGAGGGCGGTACAAACAGTCAGAAAGATGGCAAACTGTTTGAGGTGGTATGCAGAAGACAAGGCCCGCATCAACATCGAAGGGGACTTCGACATCTATCCATGGTCGTTCAAGCGCGCATCATTTCTGATCAATAGATTCAGAGTGCTTGAAGGGATCAGCCGGACAAGTTTCGAACTGGCCACAGGACATCCCTATCGTGGAAAGTTGGCTTTGTTTGGTGAAAGTGTGCTGTTCAAACGCGCAGTCAAGAACAAGGGCAGTGCAGTGTTTGAGAAGGGCGTGTGGGTGACAAAGCATCCATGGAACGACAACCACGTGTTGCTCTCCACAACAGGAGCCTACAAGTCAAGAACGATTCACCTGAGGACAGCTTCAACGGCCCAGAGATCTTCACTGCAAAGGGACTGCCATGGAGCTACTCAGCACAAGGGATACTGATGAAGCATGCCGGACAAGCGCAAAGATACAGACAGCCAACATTGGAGAAGGAGGCCAGTGAAGAGGAGCTAAACAGCTATCGCTCAAGATGTGGCTACTCGGGTGGTCACACCTGCTCCAGGATGCCAACCCATGACACCAGGGATCACACTGACCATGGCTGGACCATTAACAGCTGAGGCTCCAAAGACACCGACAAAGGCTGCAATGAAGAGGCAACTGTCTGAGGAGGCGAAGAGCGAAGGAGAACGAGAAAATAAGAAGCTCGACGCATCAGATTCTCCGAGGAAATAAGCAGGGAAGAGGCAAGGAGAGGCAGCCGACGAGCTGAAAGTGGACCTCAACCAGAAGGAGACAGGATGAGGACAGAGGCTGAAGGATCTCCAAGAATGTCACCATCATACAATACAGGGCACCTGTATCCTCCGCACTACGCAGGAGTTGGTGCGATTGGAGTAGAACCGCATGGAGATGAAGATATAGATATGGAGTTGATGCCAGAGGATGTGCTTGAGGAGCACTTGATGGGATACGGTGGAGAAGGAGGGGATGACCCTCCTGAAGTGACTGAAGAGGAACTGGAGCTGCTCGACAAAGAAGCGTGCAATACGGAGATCGAGAGAATGCTGGAAATGCCTGCAATGATGGAAGTGCAGAAGACAGAAGTCGAGCAGGACGAGGGCTACATGCTCAGCGCGAAGATGGTGATGCGCTGGAAACACCGTCTGGAGAAAGGAGGATGGTTTCGCAGGGCACGATTAGTAGCCAGACAGTTCAAGAACAGCATAGATCCGGAAGCCACTTTCGCTCCTACATCCATGATGATGCTGCCGAAAATGTTGATGCACTATTTGCTGAACGTGAGGAGCGAGTTCGTGGTAGTCACTCTGGACATCAAAGATGCCTTTTTGATGGCAGCGCAGCCGGCTACGGAGAAGGCCTACATCCAGATTGAGGAACGCCTCTATAAGTTGCTCAGATGCCTTCCAGGCCAGAGGACAGCCGCATTGCAATGATTGGTTTGGCTTGTTTGCATCTGCGCGCAGGGACTTTGGCATGCAGCAAGACCTGATGCAGCCCACGCTGATGCTGATGAACAACCTCCTGTACCTCACTGTCCACGTGGACGATGTGTTCATGGTGGGACGAGAAGATAAAGTGAGGGAGCTGATTCAATACTTCAAGGAGGAGAAGCAATGGAACGTGGAAGAGAAAGGCCCATTCCGACAAGGTGACAAGTTCTTCTACCTGAAGAGGCAATTCAATTTGGGCATGAGGCACTGTGACATAAGGTGCGACAGGAAGCAGTATGACAGCTTCGAAAAGGAAGTCGACATATACTCCAGATTTTACAGAAAGACCCCTCTAGATGCGAACTTCACGAAGAAGGACGATTCTGCAATGCTGGAAGGAGCCGAGATCACGAAGTACAGAAGCATCGTAGGGAGGCTCATGTACATGGCTGGAGAACGGCCTGACGCACAGTATCAGTATGCCATTCAGTGCTTGGCACGCCGCGTGGCAAAACCTACAAAGAAACCTGAAGAATGCCTGGCACACCTGTTCCTACCTCTTTGGGACAGGTGGATACGGAGTGAGACTTGAGGAAAGAAGGAAGGGCCAGTCGATGATGGACTTCAGAGAGATTGAGGAGGTGGAAGAAGCAGCGCAACACCTAGTGGAGGAACGATCGCAAATCAACGACCTCCATGCAAGTCTCCATTGATGGCAACATCATTGACAGCAAGGTCAGGAGCCAGAAAGCCATCGCTCTCTCATCAGGGGAAAGCGAATTCATGGCACTGGTTGCAGGATGCTCAGAAGGCATGCTGGTGAGGCACCTGTGGAATAAGATCACAGGAGGAGAATCCCAAATGAAGGCAAGATCGGACAGCTCAGCGGCAAGAGGGATGACCCAGCGGCGAGGCATTGGAAGGGTCAGGCACTTAGATGCTTCAATGCTGTGGATACAGCAGAAGGAGCGAGAAAAGATCCTGACAGTGGCAGCAATTCCACGGCACCAAGAATTTGCCGAAGAAAAGGTTGAAAGGCCTACAGTTCATGCTGCGCATGGTGGACGCCGTGGGTGACCGCGTAGGTGAGCAGGAGTTCCGGGAGATCGAGGAGCAGCGCAAGATGAAGCAAGGAATGAAGACGTTTGGAAAGAGCAAGGATCTACGGATCGGACTTTTGATGCTGCTGGCCACGATCAACAAGGTTGGAAGCACCTCGACGGAGAAGAAAGAAATTGGTGAAAGCGACTGGACATGGGTGATGCTATGCACACTTGCTTGCATCGGGGCCTTGAGCCTGATCAGATGGTTCTGGAACTATGTCCATGAGTTCCTAGAGGGCGCGAAGGCCTTCATCCAGAAGATCGAGAAGGCCATGAAGTGGGTCAAGAAGGTCAACCTGAATGTACAAGTGGAAAGGGTTGATCAGGAAACCCAGGTGTCGGTGCCAAATGCTCGACTCGAGCGAGAACTTGAGCAAGCAGCAAATGAGCTTTTCCTGAAGGAAAGCTACATAGAAGAGCTCGAGCAGGACATGGAGAAGATGAAGGAGCGCCTAGCCGAGTTTCTTCAAGAAAGGGAGATTGCGGAAAGACGCAGCTCAAGGCTCGAAGAGCAAATGCACAGGCTGCGGATGACACCTTCCGGACGAGTGCTGCATTTTGCAGCGGGGTGCCCGCACTACATGGCAGGGCAGCCCATCAAAATGTGCCACACATGCCTGAACGAAGGAGGAGTGTTAGAAACTAGGACATGTACTTGAACAGTCATTCAGGCATGGAAGCACAGCGTTTACCGACCGGGGCATGTAGGCCCAAAGTCGCTTTGGCGAAAACAGCGCCCGCGCTTTTCAATATGTATATTGGTGCTGGGCCGCGAGTAGTAGGAGGCGTTAGCTACAAGTAGCAAGCAGAATTGCAAGTAGTAGTAAGAGATAAGCTACTAGCGAAAGGATACAAGAAAGTTCACGTACTATTCATTTGGCTCCTAGATTTTCAGGGAAACCAGTCTTTTGCCAATCCTAAACGCTTTAAGTCTTTGTTTTTCTTCAATCAGTCAAGAAAAAATTACTGTAGTTTTCCCCAAACATCTATTGACCAAATCAATCATGCGAGGAGTTCTTCAAGGCCCCTCGGGCAGGGGAGCTTCCTCGAAAAAACCTGATTTTTTTTTGTCCTTGCAAATAGCTACCTGCTTAGGGCCTACCCGGCCTACCCCCCATCTTAAAAGAGAATTCACGAAAAGTCACAAGTGTTTTTCTTTCTTGTGTCTTTCTTCTTTGTTGCTGGTCACATGCTTCAGCGGCTCCAAGGTGCCGCCGCTGCGGGGCAGAAAAACCCAGCGATGCCGAGCTTGCGGCTGCGCCAGCTGTAGCACCCAATGGTCGCCAAATGCGCCCGGGTGATTGGATGTGTCCCATGTGTGGCGATCACGTCTTTGCAAAGCATGAAGCCTGCCGAAAGTGTAGTACCTTGGGCGGCATTGTTTTAGACTTGTTTTTACTACTTCCTTTCTTTTTCAGCATTTCAACAAAAACACTTGTTGAACTGATCGCCAGGCACGCCAAGGCCAGCAGAAGTATTGTGTACCTGGCATGATTATGCAAGAGAGATCAAGATAGGAAAAGGGAATTGGAGTGGAGAATGGGTTGGACTCTCGATATTTGAGGTGGCATGCAGAGCCTAAGACATCCGAGCCAGAAACAACTCATCTAAAGAGCAGGCTTTGTGGCCAACAGTGTTATTGGGACACGCCCGCAAGAGTTGTTCTTTGTTTAAACGAACTCCTCCACACTTTGAGAACAATACCATATCATCGAAACCTCCGCGGAGTGCAGTTCTTCCTCTTCCGGCTCAATTTCTTGATAAAGAAGTCCTCAAAGAAGAAAAAGGAATGAAAAGAGGAAGGTAAGGCCTTAAAACTTAAATTATATAACTTGTATCACGTTTCTTCTCATTTAAGACTTGTTTATCCAATAATTGAGCCCCTCCACGGACAGACGAAGTTCGCCTTGATGTGTTGAGGAATTTCGATCATTTTGTTGTCCTTCGCTTTGGTAAAGCATGGTAAAGTAAAGCCATTACTGCTGCGATTTTGGCACCCAACTAAGATCGCCGCCACCCTCCAATCCAGAGCAGCATTCTCTTACGTCAGACATCTATCGGCCTCCCTTTGGCCGGTGTTTCTGCCAGGAAGGTCCTTTGATCCGAACGTTGCTGCATGCAACTTGTTACTACTAGTAAGGCACTTGTTACTACTAGCTTCTTGTTACTACTAGTAAGGCACCTGTTACTACTAGTAAGGCACCTGTTACTACTAGCTTCTTGCAACTATTGGTTCACTGTGTTGCTATATGCCTTCCAGGGGTACTGTAGCTCTGGCGCCCACCCCACCATGCTCTCTCTCTCGCCTCCAAACCCAGCTGCTGCGGCGCCTTCACATCCTTTGCTGCCACCATGGCCCGATGGTCGCCCGGATCGCTGCTCGGTATTGATATGTTGCAGCTAATGGTCAGGGACTGTGCACTTGGCATCACTCAGTCACCACCCACCGGCCACCAGCCACCGGCCACCCACCCACTCA